AGTAATCGCTCCTCTTTGAAATATAACATTGGTGGTGCTTCCTCAAGCAGGTCATGATGGACAGCACTGATGTTCAGGTTATGCCAGTTTAAACAAACCCTTTTGACTTTTTTTTTTTTTTTTTTAAAAACTCAAAGGGCCAAACCCTCACTTATCCCTGCAGCTGGGAGCCTGGTTATGGGCAGGAGCCAGCGTGCCTGCGGCGGAGGCTGCACTGCCTGCAGTTTCTCTCTGGGGGATGCTCTAATGTTGTACCTTACTGTTGTCTAGCATCTGAGGGATAGGTATGCCAGTACATTCACTGCTCTGGGCGTGTGCTGTTCCCAAAGCAGGGCTGGGAAGCCCATTCAGCTTCCTAGGAATGGGATAAGGAAGAGAAAATTAGCTCTTTCCAATAGGAAAGAGCTATGGGATGGTCAGAGCTCCCAGTAACAACAGCCTGGGATCCTCCAAGCGGCAACTCTCATCTATTCCAATTAATGTGTATCTGGATGAAATGGCTCCCAAAGTTGCATTAATATATAGTTCATCACTTCTGGCTCTTAGGCTTTTTTCAGAAACTTTTGATGCTGGACACAACTGCAGTATCCAGCCTGAGCAGTGGGTGTGCACCATGGCACCTCCAGGGTCCTGAGCTGGGGCTGTGCACGAGGATGCCCATCCTGTCCTGGCCCAGGCCTGCAGGGCAGAGATAGGGAGCAGGCTTGGTCTGACCTGAAAGGATAGATCACATATTCCCCATGTCCAGTTTCCACTGGTAGCTGTCAGCAAACCAACAGCCAAGCGACAGGAACTCTGAACTCATCCAGAGAGCTCATTCCTAAAGTTATTTTTTCATGCTGCAAATTATTCATTTGTTACTGAGTCACAGGCACTAGAGACCAAAGTGCTGACCAGAAGAAGTAGGAACGCTGAGGGTAAATGTTAGTAAAGGCACTGCTAATGCTATTAAAGCTAGTGTTAAAATAATTAGCACACACATCATTTCTTAATTCCTAATGCAACTGTTGCTGTTATGGTACCTATTAATTGTTAAATATAACTATCACTACTAGCACTATGGATTTATCCCTGGCAACTTTGTACGCTGTTATTTTATGCTTGTATGTTAAACCCCTTAGGAAAGACAGTGTCTCATGTCCTGAGTCTGTGCAGTATCTGTCCCTTTAGGGTGTCAAATTAAAGCATCTCAGCATTGCTGGCATTTACAAGCTACCTAATAAGGAGTACATAAATGCTAACCTGGGATTTTTGTGCTGAATTCCCAGGAGGTGGCTGAAAGGGCCAGTTTTTAACCAGTCTGGCTGGTTTTTGGTTGAAACATCACTGGCCCCTCTTTGCAGGAATGTGCCCAGGGCAGCAGCTGGATAAGGGAGCTGCTCATAAGTGGCAAGAGGAGCACGGCCCTGGCACAGTGCACTGGACCTCGCTGTTGCTTCTGCTCCAGCGTTGGCTAGGGCAACATCTCCATGAGACAGGGGTAAAAGGGTGGGAGCAAGCCCGCAGCTGTCTTGGCTTGCAAAAATTATAAACACTCAGAGAAATGACAGATGCCTGGTGGTGATAACCACGCCTCGCTTGACCAAGACCTCGGTTTCCAGTCAATGTAGAGCGTTTGCCGCAAGTTACTCTTCTTGATTTGCTTCTCTGCTTAAACCGTCCTCTGGACACAAACGCTCCTCTACCCTTTACTTCCAACCTCCAGATAAGGTTCACTGCCACTGCTGCAGGTGGGACGATGCAGCAGTCCTTCTGCCCTCCAGTTCGGCTAGATAAAACAGAGGGTGCTTCCTGTGTAGGCTGAGCAGCATTAACATGCCTCGCTGAAATTCATTCCTCTCTCATGTTTGTTTACACCCTTGCTGCTTGACAATTTAAGCCCCATCCATCCTTTGTCATACAGATTATGCTTAAATTATGTGGGCTGGATATGAGGAAGCTTGAGGCAATGCTTATCTGGGTAGCTCTAATTTTTTCCACAGAATAAAGGACTTCAAAGTGCCTCCATGTGATTAATGTTGTAGATGCACAGTGTCCTACTGTAATAAGACTAATGACGTGTTGCTACAGTTTTAGATCTTGGTAATGAGTAATAGTTTCACTTTAAAAGATGATCATATCATCCCTTCAAGCAGACCCTTCATAGACATGCAGGTCAAGGTTATTTTCTTTCTGTAAAAGACAAATTTTTGTCTCTGCTCTCATAAAATTGAGTTATTATATTTGCAAGGCTTCTGGTCTTTACATGATGTAAATTTGCTCCTTCAATTGAAAAGGTGCTATAGGAGATTATCCTACACAGAACCTGAGCTTATACTGTAAAAAAGATAGAAAATCAACCCAGTAACATGCTAAACTAAGCTCTCCTAATTAAAACACCCATATTTCAAATAATACAAGCCCTCCTTTCCTTGCTACTCCGTTGTGCAAAGAAGCTATAATTCTCCATAGAAACGCATGCAGATATACTTTATCTCCACCTCTGCTTCCAGCTGGAGGCTTTAGATTTCTTCAACGCACAGAAGAACAAATTTGAGCCAAGATTTTCAAAATGTAATGAGGAATTTTGCATGCTTTGCTTGAAAAGAAACTTTTCATGCTGTCAGCTACAACTAGCTATCATAAAGAAGTCCAAGTCAGTTGTCAGATGAATATTGCACTATGCGGGGCTCAGAACTGTCTAACAATTAACGCTACACAAAATAATTACAGCAATTGAAGGAATGAACCTTGCAACAACATCTGATTTGCAAGTAGATTAGATTATTGCCAACACATGTGTCTTCTAGCCTCTAGGCAGCTGGAGGAATTGTATAAAAGCACTTGCAGCTCAAGGCTCTTTATCTGCTTCCCCTAACTTTTTCTCTTTTGTGAACTGAGTAAGTCTGATTTGGTTTAGCTTCAGTTTTTGGGTTTTTTTGGACTATTTTGTCTTTAGCTGTGGTGTAAAACGCTGGAACTCTGAGAATCTTTGAAATTGTCTGCTATAAATAAATCTTTGTTGCAATCAGTCTATTACAGGCTTTGAGAGATGCAGATTTTGGGAGGTAACATGGGGCTTTCAGAGTTGCATATGGGTTTTAGATACTCACTTTCCATTAAGTGTATGGGGTTCAGATTCTCTCCTTTGCTTTGTAGAATAGAGATTATTCTTAGGGTGGTTATTTAGCTGGATTCTCATCCAGTGCGAAGGCTCGTGCCTTCCTACCTATATGTTTATTCTGCTGTTCTTGGGCATGGACTGGATAATCAGCTGCAGTAAAAACCTCTGTGTATTGCAAGTATTTTTGGGGGTGTCCTCATGGCCCTTGAGGTTAAGCCATGCCTGGTTTAATGTGTGAAAGAACTTGTTTTGTGGCCTTCCACGGTGCTCTATTAGAGCAATGAAAAGTTGTTCAGCCTTTCCTCTGTGCTGGATTTGTCCTGCTTAGTATCATCTGCTTTAAAATGAGTATGTTGTAAAGGGGTCAAAACAAGGCACATAAATCAAGTACAGCTGTAATAAGGAAAGCACAACTTCTAGTACCAAATGTATAACCTTGTACCCCAGACTTTGGGTTCAGGTCTTCCAAGTCATGAAATGTCTGTCTTTATTCTCCACATCAAGTTTTGTTACTACTAGCTCTGCTTATTGTGCTTATGAAAAGCCACATTGCAGAGCACCGACCTCATGTTCATTCTGCCTTAGCTTTTCCCTTACACCTCTGTTTCAGTGAAAAGACTTATTTTCCTTCTCAGTTGCCTGACTTCCCTTTTATAGAGTACAGTAAGTCTTCAATGGGCATCTGTGCAAAAGGCTTTCTTCTTCCACTTATAAGAGTGGAAGTTACTTTGGAAATAAGAGCATGGGTCCTCTCCCTCTGGTAAAGGATGCCCTTAAGAGACAAGGGAAATGATTCTTATGTGCATGCTTAAAGACCCTTGCAAAACCCTCTGTGCTGTCTGGGTATAGCTCCACCTGGGGACTCAAGCCAAGGTTTTGTATAGCTGTCAAGTGAGCTGGAGAGCTGCAAGCTCAAATCTGTTCTTAGTGCTGCCATTGGCAATTAGCAGAAGGGTTTTACCAGAAAATAAGCTTTTGAAAGGCACTGAAAATACTGAGGCCCAGTCACTTCTCCTTGTAAGCTTATGGGAGGGTGAAGATAAAACCTGTGCCAGCATGACAATTGAATCCCACCCCTTTCACCAAAAATCCTTATAAGAGATCATGGGGGTACATTCATGAGATGTGCATCATGTGCATGACATCTGGGCACTGTCTTTGCCATTAATTAACATCTAACAAAGCCTGGGTCTGAAATAAGGAATTATTTTAGTGTTGCTGACCAACAATTTCAAGTTGAGGAGAAAAGAAAACCAAAAGGTGAATGCTGTGATGCAATATATTTTAATTGGAATAGGGCAAGGACTTTAGAGCAGCAGAACATAGAACTACAGAGAGAGCACAATACAGTTGCTGGAGATTAATGTTGTTGTCATCTTCAGGGGCTGCAGTTTGTAAGATGGTCTGTCTTTGTTGGATTTATAGCATTTGACAGTTGAGATGGGTTGTCATATTTTCTTTTTTCATATCCCAGACTGGGTGAAATAGGGTTGATCCCATGATCGAAATAGAGCTTTCAGAAGTGTTTCCATTATACCTCAAAAGCCATGGAACAGTGGTCTGTATATTTAGAAAGGCTAGAATATACAGAGTCTAATCTTCACTGATGTTACTCTTCCATAAACCACTTAAATTAACTAAGGTCTTTCATATACTCAGGTGTATGTCCCATCAAACACACTACATTGCAATGTTATTAGCAGATACCTAATCCAACAGAAAGGGAATATTTCTAGGCCTTGTTTCTCAGAATGGCCAAGTGCTCCCAGCTCACAAGGACTCCCACAGGAGCCCAGTAGGCTGTACCTCTGAAAGCCATGCTCTTCTGCTCAGTCACAAATTGGGATTTTGCTCTGATCCCTGCTGGGCCTTGCTCACAGGGACGTTCATGCGGGGCTTAGCAGGGCCCACAGCTCCCACGGCTGTAGGTTGTGGACCTGCGGGAGTAGCGAGGGTAGGAGTAGCCGCTGCCCAGGGAGATGCCGGACCCGAAGGAGCTGCCGGCACCCAAGTAGTTCCCACGGCCAAAGGGGCTGCCCAGGCCCAGGGGCTCTGAGGTGCCCACGATGCTCTCCTGCGGGCAGGAGCTGAGGATGGGGCCCGGGAAGGTAACGACCACAGGTGGTGGGTAGACCACGGCACGGGAGTCCCCGCAGGAGGTGACACACGCCTGGTTCCAGGCGTCAGCGTAGGGCGCGGGGCAGCTCACGTTGCATGGTGGGTAGGGGCGGTAGTTGCAGACCTGTCCATAGAGAGACATTGTGCTGGGTGGCAGCAAGCCTGAAAAACACAAGGTGATGAGAGCACAGGTCAGGGGTGTGGGTACCTTTGTAAACAAGAGCCCTTGTATATTCAAGCCATGCAATATTCAGAAAGTTACTTATTTCTAGCTAGGTACAAAATCAGGTTGCAATTCATATGCAGAACTAAAGATGACTAGGTAATCTGTTAATGAAACTTTGCTAACTTCTAAGGCCAGGTGAGGACTTAGCCCAAAGTTTTTTTATTCAAAAACTCTTCCTAAAGCAAAGCACTCCTAGGCCCAGATGAAAGCAGTCAGCATGCTGTTTCTGAAACAAGCAGGCTGTTCCCAAGGCCCAACAGTCTCAGTGAGAAACCTGAGCTCTGCAAGTCCAACCAAGAAAAAGAAGTTAATGCATCTTTTCTATGAAAATAATATTGTTCCAAAAATACTCCAAGACATACCAAGTGTTCATACACAAATACATTAAAACTCTTATATAAAAGTTCATTTTTAAGCCATATAAAAGATTTGACTGAAGACAGACTTACTCAGGTCACCACCAAGTAGAAGCTGGGAAGAATGGTTGGAAGAGATCTGTGCTCCAAGCACTTTTATACGGCTCCTTAAGCACCTCTGGGGTCTGAGCCATGCTTTGGGCATGCAGTCCTTCCTAATTACAAAATAAGCTTTCCTGCATTTGTCACACCGATAGGTGGGGCAATTATTTTGCATGTTGTTTGTTACTAAGCAATTATCAGCTTGAATGGGGTTACATCCATGTTACAGCCTACAGATGCCTTTCATCTCAAAGCTTTAGGGACAGTATTCATCCTTAGTTTCTTTTTACTCATATCACAGAAACCAATTTACTTCCTTCACTTGTCTAAGCTTAAAAGTTCAGATCAGTAGGACAGTGAACTGCGGGTCTGACAAAATAACTTTTTTCAAAATAAAGCATGATAAAATCAAAATTATTTAAAGGTTTTGAAACCTTTTAGTTGCAAAGGAAGATGAAAATTTGAGACTTTAATTCAAAGCCTTAGCATGATACCTTCTGCTCCCTTTTATCTTTGTTGTCTTTTTCCTCAATGGGGGAAAAAATCTACAGTATGCAGCCCTCAGACACTGTAGTTATGGCATTCATCCTGCTCTGCACTAGAAAGAAGCAGTCTTACGACATGAGACCCTTTCTGAGGCTAATTTCTACAGACTTATTGTGAAGTGAGGGAGGAGAGGGAATGAGACTTCAGTGCTGCAAAACATTTCTTATGCCACTTTATTCCTGTTGAATAAAGTTCAATAAAATAAAATTGAATAAAATTCCTGTTGTGTAGGGATGTAGTTTTAAAAAAAAAAGTCTTAACGGATTTATGTGTCAAGAAACATAGTTTACAACATTAAGCAACAGAGGTGCTGAATTAGGTTATATCTGATAATTGCATCTTGACAACAAAACTCATGTAAGCAATCATATCCCTGCCCCACTGTGAGCTATAACCTTTGCTTGTGTGAATGTATCTGGCTGGGTGGAAATGGTCTCTGCTCTTTGTTATAGTTTGTGATGTTGCCCCACTCCTGCTCCTGAACCTTCTGGGGAAAATACAATGTGGAAAAGAGAAAATAACATATCAAGTGTAGTCCAGGGGCAGGGTAAAGAGGTCCTGGTTAAGGCACAGTGGTCTGCAACAGAGTATCAGCGTGGGCTTTGCCAAGCATCTGGCGGGAGGTTTGTAGGTGTCACATTGTACTGCACGTGCTGGGGTAAGGATGGCTTGCCCACCACGCTCACTGTGGGAGCACCTCTCTGGGGTAATGGGGGGCAGCAATCCTCCTTTCACCATACCCGTGACCAGTCGGATTTGTTTATTGGTTTCTGAGAGCAGTGACTGTCTCAGCTTTATTTTTGTGGTATAGAAGACACTGGGCACCAATGTTATTTACATAATCTAAGAGATAGTAGAAATATAATTATAAATAATAACACTAACGAGTACCAGACATGCCTGCGATCTCCTCCCAGAGGCTCACTTAATTGCCAAGAGATGTTGGGTAAATGACTTGGCCTCTGTCTCAATCATCCCTTCTAGAAATCAGCACTAGCTTTTGCCCGTTTCACATGTTTGTGTGGAGCAGTATTTCACTTGCTGCGATGAATGTTTAACACAGTATAAACTGCAAAAGGGAGAGGCCAACTTGGAGGCAGAAGAAGCAGCCAAATTAAACGTTTGGCCATGACATGCACCCAAAGTACATGGCGACTGGTGAAAAGGGTTTAGATGGAACATGTCTAGATGGACGCAGAGGTCTCACGCCTGACTCTGAGTTTTACAACGCCTTCTCTCTGTGCTCGGGAGTCCCCTCTGGAATTAAATCTTTTGTAAGCCAGGCAGATGGTGGTTACATTTGGCTGTGCAGGATGTTAATAGACATCTGAGTCGGGGTGATTCTCAAAGGGATGGTAGAAAATGGTGAGGGATGTTTACAGTTTCTCCCCTACATTCACAGGGTGGATAGTAGCCTCTGGAAATGACCATGTAAAGTAACCACCTGCAAGTCCTTAAGGCACGCGTTGTACAACATGTTCCCGTGCAGCCACAACCCTGGATGGAGACCCTGAAGGTCTGGCGAGCGTGCAGAACAGTCGGGGTTCCTCCTGCCAGGAGCAGGGCAGAGTGGCAGAGCAGCGCGGTATGGTAATAACAAACCTGCACTTTCTAGTTTCAAGCATACACCTTGTGGGCTCAGTATCTCTGAGAGGGTAAGACCATGCCAGGCCAAAGTCTCCTGAGCCAGCAGTGACCAGTCTCCCTTCAGGGTGGAAAGCAGTGGCCAGATGGTGCTTGACTTGTGCTGATTACGTTTCCTCCAAACTAGGCACTTCTGAATCATTTCTTTATTTTCCAGTCTTGGACCTCACCTAACAGTTGTCTTCCTCAGCCCCCTGAAATGCTCCCAGTCTCCAGAGCCTTTTTTAGCTCCTTCCCTAGAAATCACAGTTGCTTTGTGATCACATTGTTGCTGTCCCTTTTAATATTTTCACCCTTTTTCTGCCCATCTTAGTCTTTTTTGTTTTATCTTGAGAGAATGCAAAATACTTTCTTTTTCACTGCTTTACACAAAGCCACTTACCTGTACAACACCCAAGTGAATTGGGTAATTTTTTATTGTTGATTTCTTGATGGGATAATTAAGACTGCGGCTCAATAATGTACCCAGCCATACTTGTTGATTCAGTGGGACAGCTGGGAGGAGTGCTCAGGCATACCAAGTCCTCATTACTTTTATCTCCTATACTGTGACTCTGAGTCAAGGACCATTGTTTTGAGAACTATAAAAATCAAAATAGATGATTATCTTGCACTGACAACTTAAATAAGCAGCCCTAAGACATGATGGGAAGAAAAATTACTGTCTACACTGCCCAGAATAAAAACTCATCTACAGGAAATGAAGGCTGAACAATCAATACTGCGAAAAATACTTGACACAGAGTTTCTGGAAACCTGGCTCATCTCAGACTAGAAATTAATAGGGCAGGGACATGGTGGCTAAAACAGGTTATTGAGACTTAATCATATTATTTCAGCACTTCTGTTTCCAAATACTGTAAGTAATGTGTATTGACATATGAAACCTTTGGGATTATTAAATGCTATTCCTTAAACAAAGGGTGTTTAGTATGACATTACTTCTAACTTGGAATTAAGCCCAATTAAATTAGCTGGGAATTGGACATGAATTTGTTTTGTGTGAAAAGGTGAGAACTGTCATATTAAACAGGGTACAGCCAAGTACCTCAGATTTTGAGGTGCTCAGTTCCAGGTATTTCAAAAGATATTTCCCATGATAGAAATTTGTTTCTATTAGTCCAATCCTGAAGATTATCTTTGAATTTTAAAAGGAAGATTTACGGTTTTTTGCTTCCAAAATGCAGATTTTATTTCATGTAACTGAATTGCCAGAAATGGCTGAAAAGCTAGACTGAAAAACTGATTTCAGTAGTTGTAGTGCCATAAAAGGATCATGCAGATTGCCAAGGCTTTGGACAGAGGTCTGGGACCTTTATCTCCAGCTCTGACGCTATAAAAAACAGGTAAGCATCAATATGTGGCCAACTCATATTGTCTTATAGCTTCACCAGTAGGTCAGTAAAGTATTTTGAAAAATTATTTGCAGATTCATATCGGTAAATCTGATCTCCCTTTGTCTCCAATGAAGTCAGTAGAGTTAAAGCAAACATGCAGCCCACTCCCCTCCCCAACATGCAAGACATCTGCAGGCTATGATGTGGATGTAATGCTATCTGAAGAGGAGTTGCTTAATTAGTAACTATACACAAAACAATTACTTTGAGTGACACATGCAAAAAGTTTATTTAGTAATTAGAGGGACAATGAGCAAAAAGCATGGTTCACTTCCCTCAGGCCAACTGAGAACCTATATAAAAGCACCTGTGGCTGGGAGTCTTCAAACCACTTCTCTTCCTTTCTCTTCAGTACTCCTCTTGTGTTGAACAAGTAAGTGATTTTCTTTGTGGATGGGCAGGCGAGAATTGGGTTATGTTGGTTTGATTTATTTTTTAGATTGATCTTATACCACTACTCTGTATGCTAATAGATAGGTGCTATTTTCACAAAAGAGGGGGTATTTCGTGAGAGAGGCTTTTTCAGAGAATAAGTCGCAGCTTGACCCAGCTGAGGTGCTGAGACTTGCAGTCTGCAGAGATCTCAACCGCTGTTTCATCCTGCATGAAGGAAGACTATCTGGCTAATACAGCCAAAACAGTTTTGTATCCCTTCATCTCTTTGCATTATCCTGGTAATGCGTGCATAAGGGGCAGTCTGCTTGCATCTACCCTTAAAGGGGAAACTGAGGCAAAGCATGGCAAAGTAGTAAGGGGTGTTGTAGGAAATAGAGTAAATAGAGGAAAACAAAGAAAAATGTATTTCGTCTTTCTCATGCTTACTTATAAACAGATTTACCTGGGACGCTTTTCTTTGAATATCTTTCACCAT